AAAGAGCACGTAGAGATACTGTGACAGAGAGGGGAAGCCAGATTGGTCGGACTTTACGGTAAACTATCTACTCATATGTAGATGTGAGCAGTTTGCCACTGCAGCTTGGGACTACCCCTGAGGCGAGAGCGTATGAATGAATAACTAACACGGGGACACATACCAGGACAAAGCTTTTCCCCCGCACCAGGACGAAACCAGACCCAAACTGAATACAAGTGAACTCTGGAAATCAGAAGGGACGGAAGTGGCATCACGTGCTCGAGACAATATTATCCTGTGGCAAGAGAAGTGAAACCATAACTGTGGAAGCTCAGAACAAGACAGTCCATTCAAGTCCTTCACTTCTCCAAGGTTACACTGACATGCGAGCCACTAAGCACAGCCCACTGAAGTGTGAAGTTTGAGGGAGTGTGTGTGGGCACATTGATGATTTTGACTATATGAGATCAACCACAGATGACAGATGTGTTGATAACACTGCATTGACGACAGTTGTGGTCACAAATATTTATGAGTAGCCACTATGAGAAAATAGATGAATCATGAGACCAACCTATTTACGGTTGATCTATTTTCTCCCTGCATGCGCCCCCAGTGTGTGAATAAGAAGCTACTTGAAATGGATGTTTCCACAAATGAAATACTAATTCAATTAGGTGGGTATTCTTTTCACATGATCTCTATTTGTTTAAGCTAAACAGAGGGTTTCCTGGGAACCTGTGATTTGACATAGAACCAAAAGGTAGCAATACTACAGTTTTAGAATACTCGGCTACAAGTAAAAGTATTTGCTTTTTTCAAAAGAAAGGTCTTAAACTCTTAAATGTGGAGAGGGTGTCTGCCTTCAGAACACAAAGTGGACTGAAGCCCCAGTTGTACTTCTAGAGCAGGGGTCTCCAACAGCGGCGAGCTACTGAAAAGCGGTAGCTCGCGGGCAGCTTTTCAGTAGCTCGCCGCTCGATTATCGATTATAGCGTAGTAACGTTGCTTCTTGATTTTTTTTTGGACAATAAAGTGTTTTTATTTTAGAATTGTTTCTGTCACACAAATATAAAATTGGTCCGTGACGCAGAGATCAAGGAGCAGATGTGACAGCGGCACAGCGACACCACACACGGAGCCGTCTGCTTTCTCCAGCAGCACCAGTCCAGAACCAACAGCAGAGTGACCCGCTCTGAATCAGGCCGTGTCGCTGCGGCTCAGAGACACACAGGGAGGGATTTGTGTTTTTTGAAAAACACTCGTTATCGTCATGTCAGGTTTCTGGTGGATTGAATCAAGTCTTGGATTGCAGAGTATGAATGTCCTCTTGCTATTTGCAGTTGATAAATACTTGTGTGAAGTTTGTGAAGGCAGGAGGAAAGCTTCCGCGATCACCGTCCCCTCCGTTCCTCCAAACCCCGCCCCCTCCTGAAAAATAACTACTAATAAGAGTGACAGGCTGATAGTGACCCGATAGAAACTTTATTATTCACTTAATCACTGAGATATGATGAAGCTAACTTAATCTCATACATTCATGGGATTTATGTAACAGTAAGACAGAGAATGTAAGTGTGCACCCACATGCAGTATTTTAGTTGTTATATGCTGTTGTAAATACTCCTGTTGTCTGCTGTGTTCAGACTCAAGTCCTGTGTGTGATGCCACATTCAGGACATTCAGTGTCCTTTCTTTAACAGAAGACCGTTGCTAGAAGCTGCAGCTAGACTGCAGAAGCATTAGTTTTTGTTTTTGAGGATGGAAGAACTTCACACACAGATATAGGGAGGCTAGACCTATACAATTCATTTATTATGGTTTATCATTTAATGTCAAGACGAAGAAGAAGAAAAGATGGCTGCACTGTTCAGTCTCAATCCTGTGGAGATGGAGGTTATAAATCTCCAAAATAATGTTCAGTTTAAGTCTCAGCAAAACTCACAACCTTTCTGGAGCCTTGTAGACCCAGAGAACTATAAGAACCAAGCAGCACTGAACACGTCTGCTTTATTTGGTTCTGTTCTACAGACCTTTGTGAAGCAGCTTTTTCTGGCATGAATGTCATGAAATCTAAACACAGAACAAGACTGACTGATGAACATTTAAAGGACTCTATTAGAGTGGACCTAAGTGGGCACACTCCAGCATACACCTCTGGTGGACTCCATGCAGCGCCAGTCATCTCACTAACTGTGAAAAAGAGTGAATGCACTTATTTGACACGTGCTTGCAAGGTGGTGATTAAGGTGATGTATTTACTATGTGGGCCATAATAAGAAGTGAACAATGTTTCTTTTTCTCTTGGACATTTATGTGAATCTTCAGTGATGTATGTTGGCCATAATAATATGTGAGGAATTGTTGTTTTCTTGGACCTTGATGTGAAGTTAAGATTTTAGATAAGCTTTGGGTATTGCAATTCCACACGTGTACAAAAGTAGCTTAATTCAACTGATGAGGGCTGTGTGAATAAATGTAAGCGATGCGATGCAGGTAGCTCTTGGCCACTTTCATTTTTTCAAAGTAGCTCTCAGGTGGAGAAAGGTTGGAGACCCCTTTCTAGAGACTCCAGGAACCATACATAACCCTGAAATGCAATGCCCTAGTGGGGTAATGGGGGACTATGAGCTCTTTAAGGTATGCGTGAAATGAATGCAATGTTTATGACAAACCATTTCATAGTAATAGAAATGTGAGTCTAAAAACAAAGTGCGTCACATTCCCCTCCCTCAAAATGCTGTTAGCATGACTAAAAGCATGGGCTCCAGAAGTGGGGCAGTATTTATGAGAGCGTGCCTCCAGGAGCAGGGAAGGAGGATGCTGCTGCAGTAACAAAGGAACCCCAGTATGATGCAAACCCTAGCTTCACTAGTATCACACATCATACTGTCCCCTTCTCCCACAGCCTCATCCTCGCTGTCCCCCTCTCCTCTGTGTTATCTCCAGTCCAGCATTGTATTCAATAAATACATTCTAGGTCTGCAGTGCAAACAACAGCACAATCGCCAAATGGGATTTTTAGCTAGGTACGCTACTGGGATGTCAGTTTCCATAGGATCGACCTTTGACCCGGTGTTGTGCAGAGCTGGAGCAAATATAAACAGCCCCTCCCCTCACCCCCCTCTCCTTCGTACCATCAAATGGCCAGCACAAAGGAAAAGAGCTGACCTTAACTGTCCTGGAGGTGATCATGAGAACACATGCACGGAACACACAGGGATGTCAGTACCAGTGCACTTTCAAGCCAACCCAAGACAAGAGCTTTCATCTGGATGCAGCTCCCTTGATGAAGAACATAAGAGAAGAGAGGACAGTGGTGGAAGAAGGAGAAGAAAAACAAAGCACAGAGCCAATCAACTGGCCGGAGTAAAACAAAGGGCTATCTGTAAAAGCCCTGGACTTCATCCCACCCTGTGACGAGAGAACTTCGATCCCCAGGCTGCTCCAAAGCCCTGATGGAGCCTGTTAAGCCCCCACTTCCATTCAGCTCATTGAGCTCGTGCTGCTGATCAATTAGAGAACAGCTGAACCAGCTGCTGACCACCAACATTCTGCTTTTAATGCTTTTAAGCACAGATGGGCTTTTTTATATAACGATTGTGCTTCTTGTAATCTAGCCAGTCTTTATTTGTATCTAATCTGAAGTCTTTGATCCTCAACTGCTCACAGAGTCAACCCCACCCCTGTGCCGTGTCACAATCTCATGGAGGCTGATACAGGCGAAGTGTTAGCATGCAGGCTTATCTGCATAAAACAAGTCTTAACATGTATGATGGAATAAGAACTATGCACTGGGTTATCTTTTTACTGTGGGATACCACATCATCCATACTAAGTCACCTGAGGTCAGGCAGGCACACAGCTGACCAACAGGAATGATGTATACAACCCCAACACATAAGCAAACCTGGGATTGAAATACTTGCAGAGAAACAAGTATGGGAAACAGTTCCGAAAAAAATAAAATATTTGGAAAAAAATAAAAAACCGAATATCCGAATAATGAAATTGAAACCCGAATAGTTGGCCAACGAACGAATATTCGAATATTCAGGTACAGCCCTACTCCAGATGAAGTCTGGACAAAATATTGCGAATTTCAATCAAATATATCAAGCACAACTCAAGCCCCTAGAAAGTGCGGTAGGCGTTGAAGAACATTTTCATATTCTCTGTGTTTGTCACGTGACGCAATGGGGCCAACAAATACTTTTCCCCATCGACTTACAGGTAAGCCTGTAAATGTATGTGTAATTGTACATTATGGTCCCTCTCCATTCATTTGGCTGATCCGAGGCAGGACTGAGCAACTTTCATAGGCATGAGGGGTCCAGCCTTCAACACAGCTCTATTTTTACATAAATGAAACAACCTCATGGAGGGCGTTTGTTGGAAGAGTCTTCACAGATATTTGATCACTACAGCTCAAAAGTGTCACCACTCTTCCAGTTGCTTGGGCCTGTCCAAAAGTTAATTACATTTGATACAAAATTGGTGACTTTATTTGGGACAAATTCTTTAAATGCCCTCAACATTCGAAATGATTTTCCTATAATGATTTCCCTGGTTTTCTCTCAAACAGAAGGTATTATTATTTCTGTGAGCTCTTACTAGGTTGTTCATATTTGAAACGATGGATCAGCCCGTTAAGTTAAAGATGAACGTGTGACCTGCTACTGTGATCCCAAATAATAATAACAAGACGGCTTAAACTTCTAAATCCTTATATCAACTAAAGTCAATAGCATCCATGCACATTTTCCACGTGCGCAGTTGGAAAAATAAGTACAGGATTTGTTTTTATTTCAAACTATTTTCCAACTGACTGCTGTTTTCCAGTGTTGCTGCCAGCAGTCTTGTGTATAAAAAGTGTCAACATGGACAATTTCCATACAGGCCAAGTCAGCTTATCCATACAATGTACGCAGTAATGTTGAAGAGTATAATAGGTGCTATTCAGTACTAGCACACAGCACCTAAACACACTTTTCTTTGAGAGTGTGTGTGAGACTCACCCATCCTCCTTGGCTCTGGATCCAGGGCTGGATGTGGTTGTCCAGGTAGACGGTCATCCACTCGATGATCCTGCCCACCAGCGGACTCATCTCCTTCTCCACGCACTCCACGCACAGCGCCCCGCCAAAAGCAAAAAGCCCTACGATGCGTCCCCAGTTGACCCCGTCCCGGAACACCTCGTCCATCACATTCTCGAAGCTTTGGTAAGCTGTGGCCGGCGTGATGTGCAGCTGGTTGTGCAGGTCGCTGAAGGCGAGGGCGTACCGCAGCTCGAACTCGTTGGCCGAGTCCCGGAGGGCCTCTTTCACCGCGTCCAGGTCCGTCGTTGAGGGCAACCGTTGCTGCCTCAGCGGGGATGCCGGCGGGGTCCCGGGACTTGTGCCGTTTACAGTCCCGTTGGCGTGCGTCGCTACCCTCTGCTCAACACCCAACCCTGCCTCCTCCCCATCAGTCCTGTTCGGATGCTCCAAGAGCTCCATGTGATTGAGAGGATAGTTTCTCTGGGAGAGTTTATAGTTAATGTAGGAAGCCACCAGTTCTCCGTTTTGAGACATGTTGTGTTTAAATAAGCTATTTCTCTTCGCTGCGGTCCGTCTCTGCTCCTCTCTCCGTCTTGCTGTGTTAGAGTGAACACACACTGTGCCGGGCTTCCCTCTCTTCAGACCACCATGGTCAGCTGATATCCAGAGGACACTCGGGGGGCAAAAAATCAAACCTGCACAAGGCTGACAAATCAGCTCAGGCCCTGCGGAGAGACAACAATGAAAGGTCAAAGTCTGGACAGCCTATAAGTACACTGTGATTGTGTGTGTGAGTGTGTGTGGGGATGGTTGCAGACATTCAAATTACATTTGGACAGGTAAGGCCAAAGTGCATCGCTTTAATTGGGCTGTTACATATGGAGCAGATGGCAATGATATTAATGAGACTATAGTAGAGCGATCGTGTGTGTGTGTTCCTGAGAGAGAGAGAGGGGGTGTGAGGTTTAGGTGAGAAGAGATCAGAGGGACAGTCATCTCATAATCAGTGACCTCTGACCTTTAGGATGAGCTTTAAGGCTCCTTGCTTGTATCAGCTCCAGCTTTCTGTCACTTACACACTCCCCTGCACACAATCACACCCACGCATGCCCTTGAATATATATGAATGGAATATTGAGCATAATGCAGTTAAGTTTTCATTAACTCAACGTTGGAAACTTTAATCACAAACATACTTTACAATAACTCGAGTTATTCTGTGTTAAGCTTTGATAACATTCTGAAAGCACCGTTGCAGTCTTAGGTTAACGTTGGGTTAACCACTTTTAGCACACGACTGCAGTTGTAGTTTCCGGTATGAAAAGGCCATAAGCAGGTTGAGCATGTGTGTGAACATTATTATTTTAAAGAATTGAGAATACATGAAACTCTCCTGTTAAACTACTACTCATTCAATCTGAATAGTTTCTGAAACAGAACAATTGTGATTGTTAAAAAAGCTAATATCTACATCTACAAAACATTTATGAAAGAACATTTTCTTTTCCATATATGATAGTAAACTAAAACAATATTTGGGTTTTGAACTGTTTGTGAAATAAAACAAGAAACCTGAAAACATGTCCTTGGCTGTTGTAAATGATGACAGGCATTTTGAGAAAAACAGTGAATCCAGCAAATACTCTGTGATTACTCAAAAGGATTGATTTGTACCAATTCCTCTAAACCTATTGATAGTCAAATGTTAGAAATAGAAACACGTGTGGCTGCATCGCTTACAGACATTTCCAGTACAATACAGTACAGTGGCAGTCTCAGTATTGTAAACAAAAAGTATTGATATGATATTGAAAGACGAATATTGACCATTCATAGTTGAGAGACCAGTGATATCGTTGTCACTAAGTCGTTGGAAACAAACAATAATATGACTGTACTACATTTGTGTCAGTATCCTGCAGTAAGTGTATTGAGCTTAGGTGAGTTTACAATCCTGAAACAAAAGACAGCCTGAGAAAGCCGCTCCCTCACACTGAAGCCTGTCACCATACACTGCTGTGACAGAAGGGAGAGGAACACAACCTGCCCTTTCCTAGAACATGAGTGGCATTTCAACTGATAGGTGGCTGGACATCAGAATTACTAGTGGTAGGATGCAATACATTTACCCAAGTGTTACTACACTTTGGAAGACACTATTGTACTTTATACTCCACTACAATTATCTGACAGCTTTCAAATCCGCCAATACAAAACTTTTTTTCAAAACATTTCAAGTCAAGATATCCAGCAGCAGTATATAAAGTAAATACAAACATTCCTTCTTTATCAGCTGTAATACTTTTGGAATATACTTGGTATATTTGGATGTATAGGCCTACTGTTGTACATTTACTAAAGTAAGATTTTGAAAGCAGAAATTACATTTGTAACAGAGTATTTTTAGAGTTGAGTTTTGCTACTATATTCTAAATACTTCTTCCACTACTGTTATTATTGTATGAGACGGATGGGAGAGGAGCTCCATGCAAACAGTGATGGTGACATAAGTAGTCCCTCCTCACAGCACAATGGAAGCGCGATGCTACGCGCTCATGGCCAAACAAGCCAGGTGCTCCAAAAAACTTTTCTTACAAACTTACAAAAAAACCGTAGGAAGCAGCCAGTGTAGGCTATACACGCGGTGAAACACTCGGAGACAGCACGTTAAGCGGATGAACACCTAGAGGGAAGCAGTGTTTACAATAACCACATGGTCCCCACTCCCCAGCTACAGCACGTGGCTCGGGTTTTAATAGCCACAGCTCGGATGTAAACAGCACGCAGCTTCTATAGAGCGAGTAGCGAAAACATGTAGAACCTGAATGCAACATTCGCAAAAACAACCGTTCAAATATGAACTCACAGAAAGCAGAGTTAGGGATAGTGTGTTTATTACAGTGCAATCTGGACTGTAAGGTTACAGATAAACAGCCAGGATGTTAGCACCTCCTCTGTACACCACGGGCTGGTTGTGTGACGCATCTGTGTTTGGATGTAATAATATCCACATCAATTCAGATTTCCATGTTTCTGCTATGAAGACTACATACATATATGATTACTAACCTTGTTGTGTCTTTCGCGATATACACAAATACAATGAGTTGTCCTCTTTCCGTTCCCTCTGTATAAATGTCCGGAATAGGTCTGTGTGTACAAAAGCTGTCACAATCCAAGACTATAAAATAGTCACTTTGTGTGCGAGTGTATGTTTTAACGTATCCTCCTACGTCTCCCCCTCCTCTCTGGGTATGCCCAGCCCCCCTTATTACGTAATACGACGCCTTCGGAGATGTCTGGATATCTGGATCACGATCATATCAGGAATCCTCGTTCATGCTGGCCTTTAAACCCAGACCCACTAGACATCCATAATGTGATAACACGCTATGTTGCAACATAACCTGAGATGAGAGTATAAGGTTTGCTGTTACAACCTAACCAACAGTGTGAAGATCAGATAGATATAGAACCCCTTCATAATAAGTGTTCGATTATAGGGACGGGACGTTCGTCTGTGTCATTCTTTGTTCACTTTATATATTTGACAGAGCTCATTACATTTACTAAAATATAAATGAGTGTTGGAAATCTCTTTTCTAGCCTCGTGTCATTGCAGTTCAATTGTGCCTTTTCTTTAAGAGAGAAACATATAGGCATTTGTAATCAAACACATACTTAACACAATTTAAAAACGGTTGAACGGGTTTTAGTAAGAGCCCCTGAAGGCAGCACAGGCCAATTTTCATTCTGCTGTCATAAACACTGGGCTAGACTGTATACATAAAAGCAAAGGCGTTTAATAACAATGCGGGAAAATGCCACTTTGCGACACCACCCTGTGTTCCGGCTCTAAATAGACTTCCCCACGACAGCAATCAATACAAAACTAATTATTGAGCAATGCCTTACACACTCACAGTTCCGCCTGCACTAAAACCACTGTAGGCAGCTATGTAGGCTACTGAAGATGGCTGTCACTGTCATATACAGTCTTGGTGTAGTCACTTTTTCATTGACTTTGAACATAGAAATGTGCGTTACAGCGGCAAACTCATTCACTACAGTTTGCCAATAAATGTGGCGTCAAATTGAAATAGATGGAAACATCTAGCAGGAAACGAAATGATGGTTACGCATTCCAAATCTGTCGACCTCCTTCCTCTGGATTCAGAGAGGAAAATCCGCCCTCTACCAGCCTTCCGCTCATTATTTCACCAACAAAACAACCACAGCCATTAGAAATACATTCATAGCCTGACAAGACATACTTACTTGTATGGTGGGCTCCATAAAATCATGTCTGGCGGCTCACAATCCAGACCCCGGCAGTAGTAATCCTATCCGTCATTGCTAGCCTGTCTGGCTAACGCCGCGACGGAGATATCCTAGCCTGCCACTGGCTGCCTCAGATCCGCCCACTAAACTACGTCCTTTGCGTAATGCATTCAACATGCCAGCCTCCGTTCAGAGCTCCCAGGTAGTAATTGTGAGATTTATCCAGAGTGAAGAGAATGCTACATATGAATTAGCAGGACAAATGCAGTCCTCCAACTGGAGAATTCACCGGTCACTTCTAACTTTGTATGAGAGCTAGCTTAGCCGGCTAACAGGAGGAAAGTCCCAGCTAGAATGAGTGCTAACTAGCTAAAAGCATTTTTGTCTGTGGGGTGTCTGACCCCTACGTGAATTATGTAAGTTGAGCAGTCACATTCCTCATTGTCTGCTTATCTATGTACTTGTTAAAGTAATAATAACGTAGCGTTTTCTTTTACAAGGCTCCGTGTAGCAGATGTTGGGCCGCTTTCTACTTTACTCTCCAAAACAAAGGATGTAAGAGGTCTCCATGGTAACCTTTGTTACCCCAAAATGTAGCGCGCGCAAGGCCGACTGAGCACAGCTCGCCCCCTTGTGGACATGTTTATATAGAAAGAACGGAAACCCCTCCTAAACACTAGCTTCCCCCCCAATACAAAATCCCAATTCATTATATACACCTACAATACAGATCACATCAGAGTTACACGAAGTACAAACAATAAATGGCTTCTTTTTTTAAATTGTATTGTGGTACCATACTTGTGTGGGTCTTTCTTTAAGGTGTTTAGCCCTTGGTTTGGAGTTATTCAATCTCTTTGTATTGATGTGATATTTTCCCATAATTACAATTACCTTTAAAAACTGAATTATTGAGCAGATTTTGTCTCGTCATCTCAAAACTAAAAATGAACAAAAAAAGATTTCTGAACAAAACGAAATAATCCATAACAACTTCCCCACAAAAGAAAGCAAATCATGTGTGTGCAAAATCTTAACATTTTAAAGTGAACTGTCATTTACACTTGCCTCTTTATTTTTACGTTTCTATTTCTTGAGTGCACCCTTTATTAATGTTAATTAATTAACCATTAACTCAAGTCAAAATATTTGAGGACTAAAGCTTTAAAGCTTCATAAACTTAATCAAAAGGCACACAAGTGGATCAGAATTCAGGTTTATTGATTACTTCACCAAATGTTTGGAAGATTACATCACAATATTATGTATAGAACCGTATAGCACTTTCATTTCTATGTATCTTACATTGAAAACTTTACAGTCTGCTTTTTTCATGTACTGTATATATATATATATATTTATATATTCCCTAGCTTTAGGGAAGAAAAGTAGACATCCATAGTTGCAAGGGAAGGAATGCTTCTCAAAAAATATTTAAATGCACTTTAAATAATTACATACATCCTTCTTTTAAAAAAAAGGCATGGAATAAACTACGAAGGATCCAGAGATTCCTCTTTCTCTGTAGATGCAACATTTGGTTCTGCTCCGTCCCGGAACTCTATTGCTGAATGCGACAACACTGACGGGCGCTCCAAACATCCAGAGCTAGATGATACACCGGAAGGCATTAATACATGAGCAAACTGTCGGCAACAGGTGTGCAAAAAGAGTGTGGGAAATGGACAACCACTGTTTCCCCTCATGGGCCGAATGATGGATAAGTGGAGGATTTTATGAGCCAGCTGATATTGAAAAGCCAGGAAGAGGTGACTCTGTTAAGTCCTTCAGTGTCAACACAAAAAAGGAATATATGACTGCAATCAACCTTCATTGTAAACCAACCTGAATAATAATCATAAAGCAAGAGAGTAAAATAAATATGAAAAATCTCATTGATATGGAATGTTAAAGACGAGAGGACGGTTGTGTCACGGAGACAACTCAAATGAAGCCGCTTGGGATCTTTGATAGTGTTGGAAGAGATGCAGATTCTTCTCACCTGCAGCTCAGAGTTTCAGTCAACAGCCCGCTACCGAATAACAGGAACACAAACATTAAAGTGACAAACAATGCTTTGGGATGAGCATCGACACATGAGGGTTCAGATATTACAACATATTTTCATTAGATCACCAAACTCACAATAAGGGCGACACTTGACGGTGTTATCATTTTCAAACAGGCACAGGTGGCCAAAAATCGCAAATGTAAGGTTCATCGAATTCAATGGTATCGTCGGTGTAAAGACCTCTTTTGTTAAAAAAAAAAAACAGAAAAACAAACCAACAAAATCGGGTACAATATCAATAAATTATCTGTTTACAGTTCTTCTTGTCATTGAGATGAGTCAGGGGGACGATGAATGACGGTCAGCAGAGAGCGCTGGTCACAGTGCTGTTCATCCCCGAGAAAAAGACGGGAGGAGGACAGGGTGAAGACTTTCCTACAAGCGGAGTGCAGTAGAGAAGCTGAACAGAGACAGAAAAGCTGCAGTCGTTCTCCTCTTCCTCCTCTGTGGTCTGTTCCAGTCTCTTTTGTGTCAACCTACAAATGTCCTTTTGATTTCTCCACCCGATCCTGCACCCACTCATTCTAGGATATGGGAATTCGGGCCCCCTCGGGAGCGGCGATGTGGAAGACGGAGCCGATGCGCAGGAAGAAGCGCCTGAGGACGGCCCGCAGCTCGGGGATCAGGTCGAACTGCATCATCTCACACAGGTGGGGGTAGTAGCAGGAAGCATGGGGCTTGAACTGGAAAAGGAGAAAGTCAGATAAAAAATATTTACAATTGTCTTTTCTGCTCAACTATCAACACCAAATATGCAGAAGGAGGCCTGCATCTACTCAGACAGCAGACCTGTGCTAACAAGCTAACAGGTATTGTTCGGCAGAAAGAAAATAGTTCCTACATGAAACTGCGTACAACAAGGTCTGTGGATTATCTTAAACACCCTTAATCATAAATAGCACTATAGCCAAACAAGTTACTTCACTCTGAAATGCATTTAATGTTTACAATTATTTTTCCCTTTTTAATATATCTGTGTTTATTGTATCTTACCTATTTTAATCATAGTCCAGTATGATGACATTCATGTTTTTGGACCATTTCGCGGATAATGCTAGATCTGTTTATGGCTATTTGGTTAAAGGGGCCCTATTAGGCTCATTCCGAGGTTCATATTTGTATTCTGTGCCTCTACTGGGACATGTCCCATGCTTTAATGTTCCAAAAAGTCGGCCCACGGGCCATTTTGGATCGGCTCTCAGCAAATTCAAAAAGTATAATGGAATGCGGTCCACACATGAAACTTGAGCTTGTCTTGTATTGTACTTCTTAAACATATCTGTAAACGTATGTTACACAGTCGTATTCATGTGAGTGTGGGAGAGAAACTCCCGCAGGAGGAAGTTTGGGAATTTAGCAGACCTTTGCAGACCATTTACATGCTTAAAAATATATAAGGACACATTACAGGAAAAGGAAAACCCCAAAAAGAACAATAGGGCCCCTTTGGTTTTAGCTTGGAAATGCCTCGGTATAAAACATTACTCTCTCCAATTCAACACGTGTGAGTTATTATTTATATATATGTAAATACTTTATGTTTAGTGTCTGTAAAGTTTTGGATAGTTTATCTTGGTGTCCCATTTCATATATATCAATTATGTCTTTTAGTACTTTTATTTTAGTTAGTGAATAGATGAAAGAAGAAAAAATAAATAACAATAAGATAAGAGGGTAAATATGTATTTGATTGGGCTGAACTGTACTTTTAATCTCAGCCGACAAAAGTATTTGCCAAAGATGTAGCCAGTATCTTTGGAAATATTTCCAGGACAGAGAAAGGAAGGGCGGCTGCTCTGTGTGGGTGGAACTCGGAGGCCAAAGAGTTTACAGCAGGGCGTTAAAATGTTGTGTTTCTGAGGCCAGGGAATTACAAAATAGCATTTGGGCAAATACACACAATTTAAAGATTTGTTTTAACAGGCTGGTGCCATCCAGTCCACTTTAACAATAATGTTTTATTTTTTGTTGATGCAGTGGTTAGTGTGGTGTTAGCATTTTCCTCTAAAGCTGGCTGCCTGGCACCAATACTTCCTACAGCTTTAAGTTGCATGCTGGGTTGTTTTTTAACTAAAATCTGCAATAGTTTGGGAAAGAAACCCTGAGTCATGTGCTGCTGTGACTCATCAGTGAGTCAGCCGTCACATTGAGTGTGCATGAGTCATAGGTGAGAGCTCATAACTGTGTTTACCATCCAAGAAATGTGAAAGTGGCGTAACAAGGTTATGAATGGCCCCGGTGCAAATATTGTTTTGGTGCCCCCCCCCCCCCTCCCTCTCTTTTGAGTGCTGCTCTTGTGCTTTGGTTTGCTGTACATTATAAATGCAAGCTAATACATAAAATTGCATGGGCCCCTGGCCGGCTCTGGGCCCCGGTGCGTTGCACCGGCTGCACCGTCGATAGTTACGCCACTGGGCAGGATCAAGAATGAACAGCCAAGAAAAATATAAAAACTGTTATGGACACACAGATGGAGAGAAAAGCAGTATTTGTGAACGTAAAACTAACTGACTTTGCCCTTTTACTCCTAGATTAGTGTGTAATATGTCAATTTAATTTATGGTTTGACGTCAATATATTAATTTACATTCAGGGCTTAAACACAATGTTTCTTGTTTTAGCATCGTCACATAATAGTAATAACCTTACATTGGGAATTGCTCCAATACCTCATTGCTATAGATCCTGCAAACAGTTGGTTTGAACCAGAAATATATATAAATATTAATAATTGGTTGCAAAATAAATGGTAAACTTATGTACTGCAAGTGGCAATGCTGCTTATGCAAACACTACAAATGTTGTCCACCAGGGGCACACAAGTCAATAATCTTGTATTTGATCAACTTTCCATTATATTTATGACCCAGGCTTATTCAAAATGTATGATACTAGTTGAGATTTCATGACCCAAAGCTCCAATGTAAATATAGCTGAAAGTATGTGTGTGTGTGTGTGTGTGTGTGTGTGTGTGTGTGTGTGTGTGTGTGTGTGTGTGTGTGTGTGTGTGTGTGTGGCCCTGCCTTGTCGTCAGGCAGCCGTAGTGTCCTGGTGAGCAGCAGCATCAGCAGACTGTTCCAGGCCTCTCTGTGGCTCTCTGAGGTCAGACTGATGAAGTACGCCAGAGCTTCACTGCACACCCTACACACACACACAGGATGATCATCAACAAAATATGATGTTTTGTATACTATTGTTATTCGAGTAGAGCAGGTCTAGGCTACACATCTTGAAACTAAAGCACCAACACCAGTTATTTAATGATCAGCAGCCCACATGAGTGTAATACATGAGTCAAGTGCAGCTGCTCAGCGAAAAACACAAGGTGATCTGAACCAGGCTGAACACACACACACACACACAGAGTACACTTCATAAATATATAATGAGGTATGAGCCATGTGTGAAAACAGTTTACTCAGCTCAGAGCAA